CGCAGGGGTATCATAACCTGTTTTTTTTGTTCATTTACGTGCTAGGTTCAGAGATTCCCGTTGCACTCCTACTGGAGTTTAAGCACGGGTGGGGCCGGACTGGATCAGGTTAACTACCATTAAGTACATCTACCTCGTCCCACATAAATGACCGGACCACCTCAGACTTCACCCATGTGTTGAATTATGTCAAGCTCAACCGTCCATAGAACTCCCTTCTGGCGCATCGAAGCGCAAATCCCTCCTCGGCCTCGGCCAACACGCGCCCGAGCCCTTGACACCTTCGACGTCTGTAACTTTTCCCTTCGATTCATTACCAGCTTTTGCTCTTCTCAGCATCTCCTCATCTCATCCAGGGGTCATTTTCTTCACTGGAGGCCTCATCCAATCGCCCACCAAGGTCTCCTCAGTTTGTATTCCCTTTTTATTTTTTCCTTCATGTAGCATCCCTCTGTCCTTCCTCCGATCTCGTCATCTCCGAAACTTTGTAGAATATCTGCACCTCTGGCTTTGCACCGTCGCTGCCGTACCCCTGACCGTTGAGGTCGAAAATGCGACTGAGAGCTCAAGACCGAGGCACCGGTGCCCCAGCCTTTGTCGAACGCTCAGATTGGTTTGCCGGCGAAATGGCGTACGTATTTCGTCGGTGGCGACTCGTCGCAGGTCGAGTAGTTGGTACCCTTGGTGGGGGTGAGGACGCATCTAAGGCCAGTATTTCGACTGTACCTTCACAGCGGCTGGCAGTTGCGGAGGTCAGACATCCTCTCGCTTCTTTGTTGGCGATTTGACTTTTGGAGGTATGGGATTGCTTTGGTAGGTGATGAGATGATTGTGTAGAGGGCCGCGAGATGAGTTTGGCTGGGAATGATTTTCCAGAGAAAAAGAAAAAAAGATCTTGAAGGTGTCAGTTGTTGTGATACGAAAATTAGAGAGATTATTGCCTGTCTGCGGTTCGTGTCTGGGGTGTAGATGGTTGATTTTGTTGAGTTGTGCAGTCGTGAAATCTCTGCAAATCGGATTTTCGACCAAAAATGAGCCAACACCACTCCTCTCGATCGTCAACTCGACAAAAACTCTCAGATTCACACTTTTTTGTGACTGAATCTCGGCTATTGGGAACATTTCACTCCCAGAATCGTAGAGGACACCACTGACAGGTGTTCAGCCTTCGTCCTCCTATCATAACTTGTTGTAGGGGTATATGTCAATTTTTTTTTTGTTCATTAACGTGCTGGGTAAAGTGATCCCCGTTGCACTCTTACTGGAGCTTAAGCACGAGTGGGGCCGTGCTGGATCAGGTTAACTACCGTGACGTAAAGATATATCTCGTCCCACTTAAATGACCGGACCACCTCAGACTTCATCTATGTGTTGTATCATACCAAGCCTAACCGTCCAGAAACCCGCAGTCGACACGCCGTAGCGCAATTTCCTCCTCAGCCTAGGCCACCACGCGCCTGAGCCCTTGACATCCTTATTGACTCCGAAATATAAATGCCGTCCAAGATCTCATTGCTTCTCTAGCCTTGTACCTTCGAATCGTATCATTGGGTTGTTGTCGTCATCGAGGATCTATGTAATCTCTTCGGTGTATTTTCCCTCTTCTTCCTCTTTTGTACACGTCCTGTTTCCATCATATCTTTCTTCATTAGGGCGTGTGTAGGTAGGTAATCGGACGAGTATGGAGGTGGATCGCAGGTTTAGTATCGAATGAGAAATGCTTCGTCGCAAATATATGAGGAGTTTGAGAGATGTCGGATGTTTAAATAAGACCCCTAGACAGACCTAAATCCATTCGTGAATCATATGTTGGTGGTGATGAGTTTTTGTTCGAATTTCTTACGGTGGTGAAACCTCTGTTGACTGGTGTTTCGACCAAAATACCGAATACAACTCCTTCAAGCCGAAAATACATCAAATAAAATTCATCCCACCCTTTTTCATGACTGAATCTCGGCTCTGTGAGAATTTTTCACTCCCATGTTCGTAGAAGGCACTACAGACAGGTTTCAGCTTTCTCCCTCCTATGTATGTCAGATAGATTATTCGTCTAGTCTATTCTGACTAGCGAAGACACATATGTCTATGAAAGGTCTGAGCAGCGCTAACACCATGTGAAATCTCAACACCTGTGCAGTGAAAGAGTAAGAAACTAGAATACCTGCAAAAAAAATGTACAAGTACCTGGGTCCCGGTGCGCTATTTCCAGCTTGTTGGATCCTCCTTTACTTGAGGTTTTATTAATATTAACCCTGCTGCTAGTCGATATAGAGGCTACTATTACTGGTTTTGGACATTTTCTTACAATAATTCTGAGACTTTACAGTTCTTCAGCGAATTTTCTCTTTTGGTCCAACCACTGCCTGGATTGGAGGCGCAGTTATTTGTCGTTAGCTCAATGTTAATTCGGGTCTACTGTTGAAATTATGGAGTACAGAGATAATTCAGGTAATGATTAATGGCATTTATACATGAAAGGTTTGATTGTTGAGATTTCTATTATTTCTGTGTTGGGATACACTTTTTTTTTTTTGCATCAGATTTTAATTGCGTATGCAGCTATCTAGCTATGACACAATATCAAAGAAAAGTACAGAATAGATGATTCAACGCGGAAGAGCACTCATGCCTCAGATTTCATTTGCAAGTACCACTGCGAAGTTATGGCGGCTTTTTCTTCACCTCAAGTCAACCCTCATCCGTGAATACCCACCCAGGGGAACATCTCAAAAACCCTGAGTTATCCAGACATGCCTCCATCATCTTTCAACTTTTCTCCGCGCGATATGTGATCTAAGGTGTCTCCTTCCCAAGTGGAGTAGGTGCCCAGGCTACTCAAACCATACCAGAGAACACCACCAGGAGGCGGATCACAACACTTTCCATCGTTTGCTTGTGTTTATAGTGTTAGCTGCACTCTCGCAAGCGAAATCTTGGCGCGCACAAAGTTCAATTGGTAAAACTCTTGCCAAAATTCGAAATTTCACGCCCATCGAAAACCTATCCCTCTTCTGCATCATCTTGTAAACTTGTTCTGATCCCTCTCACGTCCGTCCCAAAGAGCTATCTCCTAGATTTGTGCTCCACGCCTTGCTTCCTCCGTCGGGTATAAATATCGGCGTGGGCGTGTATTTGGTGACCGGCTGAGGCCAGAGAAAGTCGACGAGAGGTGTGGTCATTGGGATGAGGATGTACTAGGTCGTACTTGTAGACTTGATGAAGCTTAGTTGAGAATCGGACTCTTTGGGAGTGAAAGATTGACATGGTGGAGTAATTTGAAATTTTGTCTCGTGGGCCAACTTCTTTGATATTGCGAAATTTGACTGAACTTAGCTCTGGGAGAATATTTCACTTCCAGGTTCATAGAGGACACCGCGTACAGGTGTTCAGTCTTGTCCTCCGGGATACACTTTGTCGACCCTACTAGGCTCAATAATAATTATATTTTGATTTGATTTCAATTAAGCCGATCAGGCACCCTATGGGTGCATGCAGGTGACTATCTGCATTATTTACAAAGGAGGAAACCAATCTGATGAAAACCCCCTGTTCCTGTCTTTTTATGTTCCTATCAATTTGTTTACTTTACCTTCATGTTGTGCAGTTTACACTGTTCAGCCGGTGTGGATTCCGTCCTCTCCCCTTCCAGATCTATTTACTTTATCCGACATAGCTACCTCGACTTCCCCAGTAAGTCGAAACTATTTTATCCACCCTTTGTTTAGTATCAACTTTTTGATTCTAGCCATATCTTCTGGTCTGTTAATCATTGCTTCAAATGACCTGTCTTAAGCTTATCGGAGAAAGTCGTCCCTTCCATTTGCCTACTGCGAACGCGCCAATACCATGTGCCTGACGTTTTATGACGGATATCTACATTGGGAGCTTGACTTTTCTACTCCAGGTACTTTCATTCTGCACAGGTAAGAATTGAGCCCGATACGCTCGCTTCTTAGCGACACTGCTTTGGGCCCTGGTTAGGTTACGGTGGATAATTAAGGGTGTATCTTTGAAGTTTATTTTTGTACTGCCTATTTGTTCATCAGTAAATATATTTGCCGCTTTCCATATTCTGGATCGGCTGATTCTGGTCGGCCAGGCCGCTGTTTCCTGTTCTGGCTTGCTCATGAATTCTTTCACTCCTGAAAGGCCGCTATCTTTCCAGCTTCTTTCTGCCTCTCCTTGTCCTTTTCCATTCAGAAGGTTCTTGACCATTCGGAGATATCCTTACTCTTGTTCAAAGCATGCGGAGTTTCTCTCCCGTTCACGGGCAGCTTTATTTGGAAATAGACTTATTTATTTATACTTCTTATGAATTTATTTATTTTTATATCTACTGGGCACTAGCTACAACTAAAGTTCCATCCCTGAAGGGATACGGTGAAAATATACTCCTTATACATTATTAATAAAGATGCAGGATTCGCATACGGGAGTCACATGGTCATAGAGCAGTGTTGTCAGGAACTGAGGATAGAGCAGCACCCTCATATTCTTTCCCTAAACTACATCTGAATATTCTCTCATCTTAGAGCGTTTACCGGGTTACAATGGTTGCCATGGGTTACAAATGAAGTAATAGAATAGCAGCAGGCGCACCCCTTGAAGCCTTAGTTGCTCTGGCTACTATGATGTATATATGGGTTGGGTAGAGCCAATGTAGAGGGCCACGTCTTGTTTTCCGTCTTCCATTGACCTTGTCTCTTGTCCTAGTTTCTCTTGTCCCTTGTCCTTGGTTATAGCTAGAATCCTGAATTTATACCTTAGTCTATGACAAATCTTGTCAGATATCACTTGCACTTCTAAGTTATCCATAAAACACAACCCCTGGTACCCTCGAGTTTGACAAGTGTGTCCTGAATAAGGGTAAGATTTTGGTCTTGACGGTAGAGCATCTAGTAACAGACAGATAGTCAAACCAGAAAGTGTGTAATTTTCATGAATAATCGAATAGAGTCACGAGAGATTGATGGATAAACCTTGTTTTAACCAAATACTCACTAAAGCTTGGAAAAAGCCGTCGCAACGTTTCCACTACCCTCAACGAGTGTGCTCTTCTCTCTAACCCAAGCACTCAAACCTCTTTTTCCGTTCTCAACACCAAGCCCACTCATTTTCCACCCCCCTACGCTCATCTCCGCCGGACTCTCGCCCCAGGTATTTATCCAAGTAATTCCCGCCTCAAGTTTACTAATAACTCCGTGACACATGTCAATATCTCTACCAAAGACGCCAGCTGCGAGACCAAGCTGAGTGTTATTTGCTCGTATAATCGCTTCTTCAATAGTGTCATATGGAAGGATACAAAGAACCGGCCCAAATATTTCTTCTTGTGTAATTTTCATATCATCCGTACAGTCTGTGAAGATAGTTGGCTGAATCCAGTATCCATTTTCATAACCGACTGGAATTTTGGACGGTCGATCAGTGCCGCCGTAAATTAGCCTTGCTTTGTCAACATGCATGCCATGCTCTATATATTTGAGAACTTTTGTGTGATGTATCTCTGAGACCAGAGGGCCAAAATTACTATTCGGGTCCATAGGCTCTAGAGAGCGGACATATTGCATCTTTTCAATAAGCCGCTTCTCAAAAGCTGATTGAAGCTTTCTAGGTACAAATACGCGCGTACCATTTGTACACACCTGACCACTGGAGAAAAAATTGGCCATCATAGCCCCGTCCACGGCTTTTTCGATGTCAACATCCGATAGAATGATGAGGGGACTCTTTCCTCCAAGTTCCATCGTTACGTATTTCATATTACTAGATGCAGCAGCAGCAACTTTCTGACCTGTCGGAACTTGTCCAGTGAAACTGACTTTTGCTATTTTAGGATGAGAAGTAAGATAGCTGCCAACTAGTTTATCTCCATGAACCAAATTGAAAACGCCTGCTGGTAAACCTGCCTCGGAATAGATTTGAGCAAGTATTAGGCCATGAAGTGGCGTAAATTCGGATGGCTTGTAGATTATACAGTTCCCAGCTGCTAGACAGGGTGCACTTTTCCACAAGGCGATCTGGATTGGGTAATTCCAGGCTCCAATTCCAACACAAACCCCAAGAGCTTCTTTTTTGGTGTAAATCCAAGCATCTGGACGTAGCGAAGTTGTCTCTCCATTAAGACCTCCACTGGCTACAAGATTTGCATAAAATGCTAGAACTTCAGCTCCTGTCACAATATCGACTGTACTTGTCTCCGAAAATGGTTTCCCTGTATCATGTGTTTCAATCTCGGCGATTTTATCGTTTCGATCACGTAATAGTTCATCAGCCTTCAACAGAATACGAGCTCGATAGCTTGGCGAGGTTTGTGACCAGGAGTGGAAAGCAGACTGAGCGGCATTTATAGCAGCATCAACGTCAGATTCTGAGGCGGACTGTACTTCGGCAAGAATTTTTCCAGTGGAAGGATCAATAGTTTTGAAGGTTTTGCCTGACGTTGCACTTTGAACCTTACCGTCATAAAACAATTGCTGTATGGGATAAGTAGCCATAGTAATTTTTAAAACTGGCCAATAGACACTTTTCTAATGACAATCTTGAAAACAATAAAAGACGATTGGTGATGATGTCAAAGAACCCTAATGACGTTAGATACCTCTATCTATAGTCCCTCAATTATGTTGAGACTTGTGGAGGGTAGTATGATTTAGGTGTTCTCTTAAAATATGAAAGAATATCAATTTTTTACTTTTTGTATGAAATGGGAGTTTGTGCTTGCTCTACAGGAGCCAAGATGGTTCTAGGAGAGATATATTTGATATGTAAGTAGATGTAAAGTAATGATGATAATGTTAAATACAACATGAGACAAACTCGTTCTTTATCCCCTCGTGCTCACTCGTAGACCAATCATACCATCAGTCTACACCGCACCAAAGAGTGCTCACATCAGCAATTGGGGCCTTTACGCTATGTCTGTGATCCATCTCACATAATACGCACAATTTTTATGGATTCGAGTTTTCAAAATTCCCTTTAATTCAATTTTTTCTTTTCTATCGCCATCGTCCTACGATAATTCATAAATTGTGAGCCATCACAGACTATCGGGATGGCTTCAGTGGGCGACATCTCAGTTCCAGCTATGGGAAAATCAAAGAATACACTGTGAAAATTGAGATTTGGTCGATGTAGACATAATAGTTACAGTCAAGTCGATCATCCACAAACGATCCGTAAAGAAGGCAATGAGCTGAGTCGAGCTCAACGACCAAATCATGGCCCTAGAGGCCTCCACCATGACAAAAAGGCAGTCGTTTGTCAGGGGTGGTAGCACAGCCATCAGATTTGCAAACATCTTCACAAAATACAATAAGATACAAAGATCTGCACCTGAGCTGAGGTAGGAAGCAGTAACCAGTCCGCCCGCGAACGACTGTTAAAAGAAAGCGGAAGGCTTCATGAAGTTTAGCGGTAGCCGGATATTGCCCAGCATGGAAGATTTGCCCACAGTGCTGCTTCATCCAGCACAAGACTACCGTTTGCAAGAAGAATATCATGAAGTTCTTAAACTATCACGGGCCATTTTCTACTACCGAGTGCTATAATGCGTGGTCGATAAGGAATTATGTTGGGTTAGAGCGTCAGCTGTGATAAGTACAATTCATTCTACGGACATCTCAATTTTGTCAAGAGAAAACACCTTCCCTCCACTAGACGTATGTAATCTTCAATACAAGTGAACCAGACCACAACGTTATCACATCATTTGTACAGTACTAAACGGGAGCTATAGCCCAATGACCACTGTAAGCTAATAATTTCAACACTGAGCCACACTGTATAGCAAGACCAACCCGTGTTGGCAGTAAATGTGTGCAACAAACGAAAGACAATCTGTCAGTTATATGTGAGCAAGGACAAATAGAAAGGAATGCTTCGATACGAGAATTGGAAGCAAAGCAGGTAGCCTTGACTTGCGTTGATTCACAATTAACTTCTGATTTATATTGGATTTTTCAGCTTATCTCGTAGATTCACTAATTAGTTATTATTTATTTGTTGAGTGAAAGCTGAAATACAAAGATCGAAATATTCTTTTATAGAGCTTCTGTGTTGGGATACACTTTTTTTTTTGCATCAGATTTTAATTGCGTATGCAGCTATCTAGCTATGACACAATATCAAAGAAAAGTACAGAAAAGATGACTCAATTTACAAGAGGAGCACTCATACCTCGGATTTCATTTGCAAGTACCACTGCGAAGTTATGGCGGCTTTTTCTTCACCCCAAGTCAACCCTCATCCGTGAATACCCACCCAGGGGAACGTCAAAAACCCTGAGTTATCCAGACATATCTCCGTCATCCGTTCACATTTCTCCGCGCGAAATTTTGTATTTGGTGTCTCCTTCCCAAGTGGAGTAGCTGCCCAGGCTACTCAAACCATACCAGAGAACACCACCAGGAGGCGGACCACAACACCTTCCATCGTTTGCTTGTGTTTATAGTGTTAGCTGCACTCTCGCAAGCGAAATCTTGGCGCGCACAAAGTTCAATTTGTAAAAACTCTTTGCCAAAATTCGAAATTTCACGCCCTTCGAGAATGTATCCATCCTTTGCATCATCTTATCAACTTGTCCTGATTCCTCTCACGTCCATCCCAAAGAACTGTCTCCCAGATTTGTGCGTTACGCTTTGTTTCCTCCGTCTGGTATGAATACCGGCGTGGGCGTGGATGTGGTGGTCAACTGAAGCCATAGAAGGTCGAGGAGAGGTGTGGTCATTGGGATGAGGATGTACTTTAGACTTGATGAGACTTAGTTGGAAGTGAAACTCGTCGGGAGCTAAAAAACGACGTGGAGGAGTAATTTGAATCATTGCCTCGTGGGCCAACTTCTTTGATATTGCGAAATTTGACTGAACTTGGCTCTGGGAGAATATTTCACTCCTTGGTTCGTAGAAGGCACCGCATACATGTGTTCGGTCTTGCCCTCAGCTTCTGTGCTCATAAATATCAAGTTTAAAGAAAGTTGGTATGCTTGCACTAGCGAAATAATCGTCTGATTATATCTGTTGTCCTGCTTCCTTTCTATGTTTAAACACATGTCCATGTAGACATCTCCATGACAAGCGGTAATATTTTATCTAACTCCATCCATTAGATGTTCACATTCACATCATCTGTTAAGTGACTAGCGATATGGTACACAGATATGGAGTTGGATTAGGGTAATTACGGCGGTCTGGCGATACAGAAGCACTGATGACTTCTTAATTACTATTCACTCAATCTCACACACTTGGACAACTGTGATTCGTAGACTGAGTCATATATTTTAGCTTTATTACCATTTAAACCTTGAGTTCTTGCTAGCTATATTCTGAGTGTCACAGCATCATCTGTTAGATCTCACCTATCACGCCATCGAAACTCCCTCAGAATTAAGCAGCAAAATGGTTGTGCTTAACCAGCCGTCGTCCTCGGCTTCGGTTGACCCAGGCGGCCACGTACACCCGAGCCTTCTTGGAATTGCTGCCGCAATGGAGCAATCGAAACGCGAACAAAAGCAGCGCATGAGCCTAGCTCGGGATTTCCTGCAACACATCGATGCCTGGGCGGAATTCAAGATAGGAACCGAAGGCGCGGCCTTCATCGCGCCTTTTATTGAAAATACTTTATCTTTCACGACAGCGTTTGCGATGGGTAATACTAATGCCGCGATTTAACAAGGCAAGAAACCATCCCCGTGAAGTACACATACAAGAGCATCTGTACTTAGGGCGACAAAACCCTCCGTAAAACCTCTCCATGAGCTGCCAAGAAATTCCAAGTAGACTGCTTCTACGTGGACCACAGTATTCTAGAAAGCAGCCAGGCTCTCAGATTCACCAGCCAATCTGATAAAACGGAGACCGATTGTGCAGACAAGATCAGCCGGACAAGAGCCTTCGAAAGAAGACAAGTGACTCTTCCTTGATATGGGGCGAGAACATCAGTGGCGGACGTCATCACCTGTCACAATAAAGAAGCTCACCACTGAGAAAGCTGGAGTCGTATATCCAGCAATTATAGCGATGACACAAGTTAAGTCAGGTCTAGCAATGGATTGCACATCCGACGCAGCCAGGGAGTCGATTCTGATTGTGGGTCCTTCACTTCAAAAGGAGGAAATCACAATTGAGCCTGCTTCAGATTGGACGTCCGTCATGATCCCTCATGTCCCGATCTACATCCGTGCATTAGACAGTAGAATAGAAGTAATTAGAGAAATGGGGAAGACAGAGTACCAAGCAATTTGTAGAGCCACACCAATACAGTTGCGCTCAAACGACATCAAATTAAGAAGCTATTTCGCTAGCTGGATATTAGACTTCAAACAGGTGCCATCCAATCTGAGATATAGGCTGTTTACTGAGGGTGGGCCAGCTATACTCTTCTCTCGTCGGCGCCCTATCGAACAGTGTCAACACTGCTGGGGTACCACTCAACTAGAAACTGCGCCAAAGGACAGCGGTGTGAAAATTTCTCTGATACGCACGAAATAGCAGTATGCACGGCTAGTATCCCCAAATACTCAAATACTCAAACTGTGCTGAACCACTCGAGTCTACCCACTTGAGCTGCATGGCCCAGCCAGGGCTACATCACAGACAAGTGACACCTCGGTCACTGGCCGAGCTACGAGTTATTCAAGAGCGTGGACATCAAGATTTTAAGGCAGCACTCTTAAGATCAAAAGGAAAAAGTAAGGCCCGCAAGGTCATTAATATATGATAAGAAACTGTTGGAATATAAGATAACGAAAGGAGATAAGATTTTGTGCAACCTAGCTTATAAGGTAAACTTGAAGATAGCTCATATAGCATTTTCCTAACGTGTCTGTTAGAGTAGTGATAGAATTATTACATGAATCATCTGTTACCAGAACCTTTGTGCTAGCACATTAAACTCATTAAGTCGCTGCTATACCGATAGATGTGATGTTTATTGTACTACTAGAGTCTATGACTATCTAGCACATTGGGCTCCTTTCTGATCCAGGCCACACATTGTACAGTGCTCCTTGTCTCTTGTGTTCCTTGAAAGATCATTGATATATTGCCCGTGATAAATAGCCATTGAGCTCTGTGTTTACCCGCGGAATTCGGCCACCTTTTCCACGGAACCTTCTACCCAAAAAAAAAATAAAAAGGTAGCAATGGAAACTGCGTGCGCGGGAAAAAGTCTCAAAAAACCTGCAGCCCCAGCAAGGCGAGGCCTAGACACTGGGACCACATAAGGTGCGCATATTCTTCTATATCTCCCTTTTTGTAACAGTTGAGGCCGACTTGATCCAATCCACCATCTCCGTATCGGGTGCTAGCTACTCTCCGAAAACTCATCGGATGGCTTCTCCCCCTTGATCAAGAGTGGTGATGAGAAGGGCTCCGACCCTACCATCTAATCTGATCAAGGGTTACTTCATAATAATAGTGATAGGGGAGTTGTGTTAGGATTGAAGATCATACAGAACGCGAAAGCCATCGGGAATCCTCATTGAAGAGAGGACGGTGTTACTCAATCTCGGCTCTGCAGACTCTACAGTGAGAGCTGGAGGTTCGTAGGGGACACCACTGACAGGTGTTGAGAATAGTCTCCTTAAGGGTTAAGGTGGATTTTGGAAAGTAAACCATTACAGGTAATCCTTTCTCTGCCAGCTCTCTTATCGGTGATGATGTTTACCACTTTCCAATATTTTTTTGTTGGGGGGGGGGGGGTTTAATTTACAGTGTATTCAGCTATCTAGCTATGATACATTATTTACACGATCTTTATCCTTAGTACTCCTTTAAATATAATCTACACAATTCCCTGTTAATTTCCTTTGTGCGCTGCCATACACTTAGATGTGGCCAAATATGAAAGTAGAGCTTCCTTTCCTCTCATTGTTCGAAATAAAATTGCAGTGTCTTTGGCTATGTGCCCTGAAAAAATCAGTTTCTTTGATCTCTGGATTTAGGACAATGTAACAACTCGTCTTACATATTCTGCCCTTCTCTCCCACAAAAGTCACACACACCGCCTTGAAACTTCCCAATAATGTAAAGATAGACACATAAATTTCCAATTCCAGAGCCTTGCCTGAAGGAATCCTGAATCTGTCTCTCTGCTATGGTCTTGAAATTTGAATAGTTTGAAATAAAGATTGGGTTCGAGCATACCTCATCGTGGTATTTGCGAATGAAATCCAGAGCATGAGTGTGTTTGAAATCAAAAGAGTTATCCTACATGTACACATATTATCGACTACATGTCAAGCTAGATAGCTGAGTACGCATTGATTAATTTTTTGTTCTAAAAAAGGATCTTTAACTCTTTTTTCGGATTTTTATTATGGTTCCGGTCCTCGTAGACACCGTGTTTCTGCCTCAGGACCCGATGTCTTTATTTTAGGACTGGATTTGAATTATGTATGCAGCCACCTAGACAAGACATAATATGGGAGAAAATGCGCATAAAAACTGATTTTAAATAATTATAAAGCACCCAGCCTCGGATTTTATCTGCAAGTACCACTGTGAATATATAGAGGCTTTTTCTTCACCTGAAGTCAATCCTCCGCGAGTACCCCCTCAGGGAAACATATCAAAAACTCTGAGTTATCCAGACATGCCTCCCCCATCCAGTGACTTTTCTCCGCGCGAAATGTGATCTGAGATGTCTCCTTCTAAAGTGGCGTGGGTGCCTAGGTTACTCAAACTATACCAGAGATCACCACCAGGAGGCGGATCACAACACCTTCCATCGTTGGCTTGTTTTACAGTGCAAACTACACTCACCCAACCGAAGATTTGGCATACACAAAGCTCAATCCGTGAAACTTCTTGGAAAAATGCAAAATTTCACACCCGTCATCATAGTATCCACCGCCTGCATCATCTTGTAGCCTTGTCCTGATATCTCTCACATCCATCCCAAAAACTGCCTTTCAGATTTTTGCACCACGACTTTTGTCCTCTTACGAGTATTTATATTGTCGTGGGCACATATTTAGTGGCCAGCTACAGCCAGCGAATAGTTGATGGAAGGCTCAGTCACGGAAATGAGAATGTACTAGGTCGCACCTGTAGACTTAATGAGGCTTTGATTGGATTAGATTAGATTTTAATTATAGTCACTACTCAGTCGAAGACTATGAAAGACTGCTAAAATCTATGGCTAACTTTTTATTTCATGTTAATATGTCAATAAATTTAGTTCAATGCATTATGAAAGATTTTGAGGGTCTTGTCCTCGGCCTCGGTAGGAACCGATCTCGTTGGGGTTAAGAATTGACGTGGTGGAGTATTTAGAATCATTGCCTTGTATACCAACTTTTTCACTCTTACAAAGTTTGACTGAACTTGGCTTTGGGAGAATCTTTCACTTCCAGGTCTGTACAGGGCATAATTGACAAATGTACCCCATTCGTCTTCCCTTAGTTCACACTTTGTGGCCCAGCCTGTGACGCGTATGACGTCATATCGGGGCACGCGATTAACTATTCGGCAAATTTCGGCGAGCTGGTATGAGTGCTCCACCATCCTCTCAAGCAGCTCTCTGCAGATATATTCATGAATATCTCACATTGGCGAAGACCGATACAAAATCGATTAGTTGGTCTAGAGAAAGTGGTATGATTGAATGATCTTCCCCACAAAATTTCACGCATCCTAAGTAAAGTCCAGCTCTCATCCAACTGCAGTATGCACATTCAATCTATTCCCATGTGTAAGTCTTGGCAGAATTTGTCGAAGACTCCCGTTAACTTGAGATGCGGTAGGGAAAGGGACGGGTAATAATTATGCCTACCTCGTTGTTGACGACAAATCAAAAGATGCCGTCATCATTGACCCCGCCAGCCCAAATGAGTCCGCACAAAATAACCTCCAACTTCCAGGATGGCTAATATAGAAAATAGAGTAGCGCCAATTCTCAAAGAAAAGATACAAAGTAATCAGATATGCCTCAAGTCTATCATTAATACACACAGGTAGGAGTGTCACCGTAAGATCTAGGGGATGACGGCTACCCAAATCTGGTTTTTGACTCGATAAACAGTCATGCAGATCATGCTGGCGGTAATCGGCGTATGGTATGTATGGAGGTCTATGTCTTTGCTCACTTAGCTCATAGACTCTCACAGCTAGGTTACCCTGAGTTCAAGGGTGTAACTATCATCGGAGGTAAGAAATGCGAAGGAGTGCAATGGACACCCGACGATCGAGAAGTATTCAAGGTTGGAAAAATATCAGTGACAGCTCTGTATACTCCATGCCATACACAAGATAGTATCTGCTGGTTTATGGAAGATGAAGGGCAACGTGCTGTCTTCTCAGGAGACACTTTATTTCATGGCGGTTTGTTCTCCAAAAATTTAATAGAATTGTATTACTCAACGCTGAAAATCCAATAGGCTGCGGTAGATTTTTTGAGGGAACAGCGGAAGAGATGAATAAAGCCCTTAACAAAACACTAGCATCGTTACCTGATGACACAGCCGTATATCCCGGACATGAGTACACAAAGACCAATGCAAAATTTTGTCTCTCAGTCCTACCCTCTACTGCAGTTCAAAAGCTTCTGGCATTCGCAGAAAAAAACGAAGAAACTCAGGGAAAATTTACCATTGCGGATGAAAAGGTGGGATGAACCTTTCAAAAACCAAAGCAAACACCTCACTGACCATATAATTAGCAGCACAATGTCTTTATGAGACTCGAGGTAAGTAACGAGTCCCAAGAATTAGTTCAACATGATATTAAATCCTTTAGGATCCTGAGGTTCAAAGAGCTACAGGGAAGACTGATGCAGTTGATGTCATCGGTATTCTTCGAGAGATGAAAAACAAATTTTAAGTAAGGCCTGGTAAGCTTCTGTTTGCTACTCGCGAGAAATTTATTTCACCACTATAAATTAAGGTTTCACTATTTGAATCTTCAAGTGCTCTCCTGAAATTCTAATATTCTTCCAAGAAACTGTTGCATGAATCGGGCCCTCTTGCCAGGGAATTGTGCCTTGTGGTAAGCGGATCACGATGGTCTCTGAACTCCAAGCTCGTCTTCAATCTTTTTTTAGAGAGCGCCTGTTAATTTCCTTGAATATATTCATAGGGCTTTACTCTCACTGTCCATAAGAATATAGTTTAAAATTGTAAAAGTGGAATGAAAAAAATGTAGCTAGTATTTTCTTTATAGATTCTAGGAGTCCTCTACAGTCATTGAATCGCTTAGGACTGTAAAATAAATCTAATCTAATTCCTTGAATCTGTTATGATGTGCAAGAAGCATGAATATTACATTAAGTGTTGTTAACTACTTTTAAAATACAGTTTATGACGTGATAGGTCACGTGATATATGGAGCACCCATTACATGTTGTTCGTTGATTATCTAATCCTTGCGGAAACCTCCCTTTGTTGCAAGTGCGCTGGTTAATGAAAACATACCGCCTTGTCCCGTGACCTGGTTACACAGATCAAAGGATTCAGAACTAGAATTTGCAACCACAGCGATACGCTACAACTTTGGACACACAAGAATGAATAATGGTCTTCCAAAAATATTGCTTAGACCCTCCTAATGATCTCGACGTCCCCCAAAACTCCTTTCAAATCAAAATCTCTTTTATGATGATGTTTCTGAAAATCAAACCCCCGGCCCCATTCAACGGTCTCTCCTCGAAGCCGCTCAATTAGCAGTCTCGAGAGCTCGTGAAGCAGAAACTTTGTTTGGCTCATTAGCCCGACTTCTCGACGAACATTGTTCTTCTCACGCCCGCGCTATTTTACCAGAGCCTCAAGCTCAAGCCCTCCGCAACTGCACCTCAGAACTAGCAACTATTGCTGCTAAGCACTTCAACGCATACATGCACGGTACCTCAACTATCGAGATATCTAGCCCTGTGAAGATAGCAAAAGTAAAAGTCTCCCAGAGCTACGCGGGTGCCGCCAAACGAGGCGTACAGAAGACCCTTCCCTCCACAAAGAAGCTAAATGCTCACGTACGAACTGAAAACGCTAAACCAGACGACAGATTGTTCGTTCGCCTCCCATCCAACAGTTCTCTGCGCAACGCATCGGGCTATGCAATACAGACGCACTTAAAGTCTAAGCTTGGCAGCAAAAGTAAACTTCTATCAAATGTTGTGTCAACAAAGACAGGATTTGCTCTCTGCCCGAACGCTGGTAATGCCGATGCCTTAAACTAGAAACTGGAAACAGTTGATCTGTTTGGGACTGCTCCCATTGAGAAAGCCTCGCCCTGGACGTCCTACAGAATTAAGAATGTCCCTCGATTCTATGGGACAATAAACCAAAACTTGCAATACTGCCTCGAACCAGTCACGACCAAAGCCGTAACAGCTGCTGTAGCAATAGTAGCTAGCGCTACGCCCGTCTGCGTCCTACCGTCCCAGGATAATGGGACAAACTCAGATAGCCCAGACACAACCTGGATTGTTCGCTTTCCTCAAGAGCATAGCCATCTTCCGCGCATTCTTTATCTCTTTAGGTGCCACGCCGTCACCCGAATTCTTCCTAAACGCTCGTCGGTAGTACAGTGCAGGACGTGCTGGCTTTGGCACAACAGTCGCGCTTGCTCCTCTGCCCCAAGATGCCGCCTTTGTGGGTCCACCCAACACACAGAGAAGGACCACAATAACCTCTGCGCCGCACTGGCTGGACATACCTGCCCTCCGCGATGTGTGCACTGTCACGGCCCTCATCCAGCAGACGATCCAACTTTTGAGCTACGGCCACAATCCTCTAATCCTCCAAAGAAAAAATCACAGGTTGTCGCCATCCGGAAGATCTTCTCTGAGGCGCGCATCCGCCGCCAAGCAGAAGCTGGATGCGCTAAGCATTATGCCGCTCTGCAGGGCTCCAGCACCTCTCACACAGCACAGCGCACTAGCTATCCTGAAGTTTCCCAAGTAGCAGGACCATCAACACGATCTACAGCCGCATCCAAGTGGACTATTTTCTTAAACCCTTTTAAGATCTTGAAGACATCGGCCGGGGCGTCAGATGAGCTGATGGAACTTTGATAAGATAGAAGTCAACGTGGCAACCTTTCAACTCGCTTTGTACCAACTCATTACGTACTAGCTTGCCCTCACATTCGTGGGTATTGCGCTTACATCAAATGGGTTTATTTTCAAAAATTCTTTCCCTTATATATCTTTTAGTTACGGCTTCCCCTCAACCTGGCCCTAGGTACAATAGCGTGAGTACATGTGGTACGTGCACGTTAGCATATAGTCCCTGTCCGCCTCTAGATACTCTCTCCTCATAGCCAATCTACTTCTTTCATCTCTAAATTAGAGCTGCCTTCCTGCCACTTCCTCTTCTCGTGATTCTTTTATATCATTTACCATAATTGTAACTTAGTCATCAGATACTCTCTTATTTTGTAGATAAGGTCTCATATCCCTAGGTTAGCGAGTCGTGGGCCTCCGACAACTGAAGCAGTAAGCTTTGGTGTCCTTTTTCCATATCGATTTTAGATAGGACGGGCCTAGGCCCGATTATAGATTGACGTTAAATATAAAACAAACAAATAAACGCACAATTCGAGATTTCCCTTTTCCCTTCTCATAATTATTCCTGTGCTTGAGTTCTCGAATTGATGACCATCGAAGGGCGTCCCAAAATGCCTCCGATGAAGAGCAAACGACCAAATTCGACCATTTTTGTCGGCTTTGAACGGACACACATGTGTCCAAAACCTACTGGCCTCGCGCGAAAATTATCAAGCTTGTTTGCGAGTGAGGCCTTTGTCCCAGGGAAGTCTTCCACCCTTCCCGATCAAGAGATTACTGATTCTGATCCGATCAGAACAGACATATATGGTCAACAGACCGAGAAACCCGCCGAGCTGGCCCCCGAGGCAAGAAGCTCCAGGAAAGGAAAAGAGTTCTTCAGAGAAAGGACGACCGAACGTGCAGAATCGTCTGCCGGAAAAAATGATGTGCCAGCCTCAAAAGGCGTAGCATCGACATCAGCAATGGAGTTTCCTCCGGAGCTGCAAACCGTGATGGAGGCCCAAAAGCAACATACGACGCAAATTACGGCCCGTCTCGACATCTGCTCGACTGCGATAAACAGTGTTGAAGCAGCAATTTCGCCTCTTTCGATCGGCGATAATAAAGAATTCGTAGACGGTATGAAAGTCTACCTACGAGCAGCCATTGGCCAGTTCGTTCAATCCGGTCCAGGAAGCACACCACCAGTCCCTCCTGCCCGCCCCGCCAACCCTCTCCCACCGAGGGCTCCGGAAATTAGGGCACCTAACCCTACGAAAACCCAGGCTCCGGCCCCAAAGACAACTTGAGCTACCCTAGCTCGGGCAGGCCTTGTTATCAGCGCTAGGCCATCGACAAAAAAGGCAGCACCGCCCACCCAGAAAGCAAAAGGTGCCAACTCAGGTGAAAAAGTCGATTCACGACTTTTTATGCGACTCTACTATTTCCATCCCACCGTCTCCTCTCCCCAGCTGGCGTAAAACTAGCTGTGTCTCAGGCGCTGGAAACTGCTGCCAACAATATCACGTTGTTTCAGCGTGTAAAGACTGGCTTTGCAATAAGCGCAATGGATGAACTCGCTCGAAAAGAGCTCCTAGATTCCTCCACATCACGGAGCGAATCTGGAATCAAACTGGAACTAGCATCAAATCTGGCTGCCATGCAAATTGCCACCGTCCCGGAGACAATTCGAACTCATGCTGGCCCAATCGCCTTGATGGCAAAAATGGTTGCCGATGAAGTCACGCGAGTGACTAAATCGGTTCCCTCTCTGGTTCGTCCTCATGGGTCCAGCAAACCCGGAGCGCCCTACATCAATTGGCAAGCGCTCTTTCCCCGAGAATCCGCACCTCGACCCGGATTCTGCCTTTTCGACGACTCTGGAGCAGCTAAGCTCCTACGACCCCGCCAGCAAATACAACAATGCAACCGATGTCATGGCTTACACGCCACCCGCGGATGTTCCCGCGCTCCAGCTTGATGCAATTGCGGATCTAACATGCACTCGGAATCAGAGTGCAAAGCACTCATACGTTTTCGAAATTGTGGGGGACCCCACCGATCAGATTCTAGGGACTGCGTAGCCAGACCCAGTAAGTCGGGACCGGTGAATAAAGAGAAGCTGGCGACCATTCGCCAAGTCAAGCAAGGACACTATGCGGCATTCGCTCGATTCAAAGCTGCAGCCAAAGTGCCGAGGAGGAGATGATTGCCTCTGCTAAGGACGTCTCCATGGGGGAGGGATCGGGTTTCGGTGTGCTGGAATCCGAAGAAGAAGTCTGAGGGTACAGAAACCTTCGGTGAAGTTTACGACAGCTTTAATTATAGAGCAGGATACCGGCTGAATTCAGGTTATCTGCGAACTCATCTTTCGCTCTCAGCAGAGATCAGGAAAAGTCACTTGGAAGATGTGACAGGAAAGGGAACGGGCGAGAAACGCGGGATCCGGATCACATGAAAAAATCTTCTAAATTTGATTTCTGTCTTTGGCTTTTAGTTTTGATTTTCGTTTTTGATTATAGTTTCTGAGTTATAATTTACCTGCTACTTTTTCTGTAGCGGGTCTCGCAGTTGGAATGAGTTGGGCCTGTTAGCAGTGATCCCCGCCGGCTCCACCAGTCTTGTACCTATAGTGGACCTAGAGCTTTAGCTTAGGACTTTAATATAAAAAAAGCAGCAAAGCGCCAGGTAAATAACGCCCATCGCACTTCTAGGGGATGCTAAACTAGAATGGGGCCGGATCAGATTAGTGATTGAGAGAGTGTTTTTTCACTACTTCAGTGAATGACTATTTATCGCATTGGACTCCCCTCTAGCCCAGGCCAAATGTTGTACAGTGCTCCTCACCTCATTTATTACTTGAAAGATCATTGATACATTGCCCATGATGAATAACCATTCAGCTCGTTATTTACCCGTTGAATTCGGCCACCTTTTCCAGGAAACCTTCAACCCAAAAAATAGTAGCAATGGAAACCGCATGCGCGGACGAGACCGGAGAAGGCTAGTTCGAGTCCAGTAAGACCCACACACCACTCTCTCTTGCGATGATATCGTATTTATAGGTTGATGAAAGAACTTTCAGGTAACTACAGGGTCTTTACGCTTTTTCATGTGGTGGATATGGACGGAAGAAATTACAGGCCGTCAGGGCTAACCTCGCGTGGTATTTGCAAATGAAATCTGAGTGTGAGTGTTCCAAACACCAGATCGAGTGACTCTACATAAACTACACATCTTCCGAAAAAATTTGCATCGACCTCAAGGCGCCAAATTATGATATTTGATGCTGGGATTACAGGGTGATATCACGTCTCTACCGGAGTAGTTAAAGCTATGATATATCTGATTTTGTCGATGATTTCTCTACATATAATCTCGTGCTATGAAGTACGGCTAGGGGACAGCCCTTGTATGCTAATTCGGTCATGTGAACTTTGTCACATGACTAGTTAATGTGTTTTACTGACAGTTGAATAATCCCTAAACTATCCCAGTCTACAAGGACTTTACTCTCGTAAACCATGTAGATATTCATTCTCTACTAGATAAACTTAAAGTGACTCAGTAGAAGAGCTCGCTTTTCTGTAGTATAATTGTAAAGTAAAGCGCTAGATTGTATTTTAGACTTCACAGAAAATGCTGGGTTCCCAAGGGTGCCAGCACGTCGGGTAGCCTTTTCCTAGGCTGAGCCAAGCGGCATTGACAATTCAAAGCAGGTGCTGCGCGCAGGCACGACGTTAAGTAATTTAAAAACAAAAGACGGTTGTTTTGTTTGTTTTTGTTTTATAAGGCGCTCAGTGCGGTGCATCTCTCTGTTGCTGAGTCATTATCTTGATGACTCAGCCAATACCGCGAACTGGACGTTCGCAGTGTTCATAGATAAGAACAAGAACAACAAGAATCCATACCTCACTTTCGTACCTTTCGTTTTGCATTTAACTAACCTTACTTATACGTAAAATAAGGCCAATCGACAAGTTGAACAATCTGTTTATTTTAAAGGGCACATCTCCTACTCTTTTAACAGTTATCTGAACATGATACTCTTTAAGTAAATCTCTTTTATTCTTAGAATATTGCACCAAATTCATTCCGCGATAATCGCAGCAAAAACTAGATACTACTTTGACCATGATCAAATCGGCTATCCATAACTATCTCTAGAGCTGCCATAACTCCATGTACTTCCGCATCGTAGACCTCCTAGTTTTTTTCCTTGCCGTCATCACTCTTGTGTATAGTCATGCTAATATCAATGACCAATATCACAAAGTCCTAGTATACTTTATTAGTTGAAGCCTCGAAACCATTGCTGTAGACACATAGATTGTTTGGTTAGTTTTCATTTAACATCTTGCCAGCTCACAAGATAATTTTGAGGTCTCATGTGGGCCTACCCAGTCTATATAAGCCGCCCGATATGTAGAGGGTGTGGTGATAAACAGTTTGAAATGAGGTTTAATGGTAGTTGTACTAACAGGGAACTCACGTGGACGGTAAATGTAGGCATTACAGATTTGACCAGCGTAAGTCGGCGCAACTTACAGGTTAGGAACAAGGCAATCCTTGCCAGGAGAGAAGAATAGAACCAGCCAAAAGAATCCTATATATCTATGAAATTCATAATCATGTGCACACCTACCTAGCTGAGTGATTCCAAGAAAGTCAGTTTAGCACTTTTCTAGTTGATTGAACCGCGCCCGACCCGCCTATCCAGCAATAGCTTATTTTGGTTGCGACCAGCTAGAGTAGGGGTGGTTGTGATTCAACTTCCGGTAAAAGTTGGAACTTCTTTTCGACTGATGAATCGTGCCCTTGGGTTAATTTCGGACCGCATCCTGGTGTTAGTTTCAAATACTACACGGCGACAAGAGTCCCATTTGGTTTCCATCGCTCACATACGGAGCGAGGGATAAGGATAAATGCTGCAAATATTAGCCGAAATCATTTACAGGACTGAACAGATGACCTAATTTGTGTATTCTTACATGGCTTGTATTACACGTGTTGGCCTGGATGTTGAGTAGTATAGAGAAAGCTGATGACGTATTAAATGTATTGGAAATTTTCTTGTCTGTATCCTGCTTTTATTCTTTTCATACAAACAACTAATTAGATTTTACAAGTATCATCTGAGACGACTAAAGGTATGTACAGTGAAGCTCCTAAAATTAAGGACCAGGTCCTTGAAGCTGGTGCCTCCTCGACCCAATCATTCGAGCCAGTCAATTCGATCTGTGCTCATTTAAATGCATTTCACGTCTACGCTTCAAACCCTTCCCGCCACGTCGAGGCAAACCATTATTGTACGCATCTTAGTGCAGATCTTAGACAATGCCTGATCTACGATACGCCCACAAATCCAGCCCGACTAATTGGCATTGAATATATGGTTCCCAAAGCGGTTTATGAGCGCTTGGATGTAGAAGAGAGAAAGCTCTGGCATTCCCATGTGTATGAGGTAAGTCCAATCATCCTCTCTCTGAAAGAGGCGGAATCACTCTTTTGATGCCTAAGATATACAGGTCAAGAGTGGCATGCTTATCATGCCTAATTCCAATGTCCCTGGAACTGTTTGGGACGCGGCTGAGACAGCGGAAATGAAGGAGTTGGTTGGTTTGTATGGTAAAACATATCACTTTTGGCAGGTAGATCGGGGTGACGCGCTTCCATTAGGAACGCCCCAGCTCATGATGAGTTTTACCGCGGACAACCAGGTGAGTTAATTGTAGTGATACGGGAAGCTGACATGATGATGGTGTCGTTTGATGACTTTCCTTAGATACCATGGGAAAAGGTCCGTAACCGAGATGAGAGATATGGCATTGAAACAGATAAAAAAAGAGAGCATCGACAACGAATTGAAAGCCCGGAGATTCATGATGATGCAGACAGTTGTTGGAAGGGAAAATAATGATCTAAGGGCGACAAGACGAATGCATCATGTCGTATTATAAGCAATACTTATTTGATCTTGATGAACTATTGTTATATGCTCGAGTTACTTGAACAAATCTTCATATAGATCGATGAAAATAAGCCTCCATGTAAGAACTTGCTTGACTATACTCTTTAATTTATTTTGTTCTGCTGTGATACATGAGATTTTAAATCTTCTCTAGTAGTAATGTGAGGACTTGTATCTATCTTGTAGAGTTTAAGATTCGGATGAGAATCCCCTTCTGTCCTTCCCTACCCAAGATAGTAAAGTGGTCGGGTTTGGTGCCTTCACATTCTTTCATCTCGGATTTTTGGTTCAATGCTCTAGCTTCCAAGGAAAGTGATGTCTATTTTCGTTATGGCTCACCCTCTCGAGAAAGGAAAACTTCAAACACGTCTGCAGTGTTCAATGCGAGCCTGTATCAGTAGTAGTAGAGTTTGTAAAACCAGGTTTGACTCCAAGACTAGCTGAGAAGGCTTCTACTATCGAGGAGACTAGGATTCTTCAATTTCAAAGACATTATAGAAAGCTTAGCTAGGATTCTTTAAAGACGAGATTCTCTGTAAAGCTTTTATGACTACCGATCATTCGAGTGCGTGAAGTCAACGAAAGGAGGATAGCAAGCTTGAAGCTGATTCTCTTAGGCGCATAAAAGTCTGCAAAGCCTGGCTTTCTGGTCTCTCGGAATGCTTGAGAAGTGTAGCCATGTCTTCAGATTGAGTATGGGTATATGTATTGGGGCATCTCGAGCCCAGTGTTTTCGCCAGGTACTCGTGCTCCCATACAATGATGGACAGCCTTCGTTTCGTTGGTTGGAGAGGGAAGGCAATTAAGGGTAAAAGGCTCCTCAAAGTGTAAGATGGGACGAGGATTTGTGGGAGGTGGTGCTTTTTGATGAAGCGTTTGATGGCACGTAATACCCAAGGCCTGCGTATCGTGGGCCAGTTGGACAAATGAATCTACGTATCCTACAAATACATAGACCGAGAGGATACAAAAGCAAGATTTAAAAAATACGCCTTTAGCCTTTGGAGTAGCGTTGTCCTGAGTGGGTGATAGAAATTGCACCCATATAATATCTAATAATACAAGCTTGCACAGTTTGTGGCGACCAGCCATTCAGCTAACATCAGATTGCGAATAGGATTACCGTATCCAAGCGCATAAGCTTCAAGAATATTAAAGATGTTTCACCTCTCCATTTTCTAAACGCATATTCTTGATAGAGCAATGCCGGCTAATTTTGGAGATAAGCCGAGGTTCTCATGATCGACTTTGCCCTTAGTCCCAAATGGTGTGGCGTGTCGCATGCCGTATCAAGTAAAAGTTGGATCATATTGCTATCTGGCAGCTAGAATACTAAGGCGGAAAGTAATGAGGCCAGTATCGAAGATTATTTGACCGGATCCTCTTAGGTGTGGCACATAGGAGTTATGGAGAACAGTGAGATATCGGGCAGGTCACGAGAGCCTAGCCACAAACTAGGATGTATCTGCAATCTAGCTTTGATCAAAGCAGTGGCGGCAGCGGGATCTAGCACTCGGACATTGGATCCGGCTCACAATACTCCCACTTCCTCCCTCCAGCCGAGGGGAATGAGAGCAGCCGCCACATTACTCAAGCCCCTCTCAGCCGCCAGCAGATTGAATTGGGCGGCGGCATTCCGCGTATCCTGGATTTCGAGCCGAATACCGAGCCGACTGATCCGTGCCTTGGTCTGAGGACTTAGCGGCCGCATATTTGGACCAAGTCCAAGAATGAGCAAATCTAAGAAAAAGAAAAGAGGTTGTGTTAGTAGAAGCGTCGAGTCGCGGAACATGTCACTTACCGGGCTTAGGCCATACGAGCTCTAAGACTCCCCAGGCCTCGTCAGTGACCTCCCATTGACCGCGGGGATTGCAGAGTCTCAGAGCGCCATCTTCGCGTGCCTTCCACGGTTTCCAGCAGAAGGCCTCGCCTGCCACAAGGAGTACGCCACTGCCGCCCGTGATCTTGGCGCCGCTGTTTAAGTGAAATCCGTCCCAGAGACATGCATCTACTGCCGTGCTAGGTATAGGAACGTTTCCAAGTAGGTCGAGATGTAGAAGTGGGGATGTGGCATTCTCGGTAGCGTCAGTGGACCGTTGGCGGATGGCGAAGGCCCGCTGTCGACTGCAAATAACGAGACGCTGGGTGGATACGCGCGGGAGCGTGGTGAACGTGTGGGCGATTGACCAGGGCGAGCTGCGTGACAGTATTCGGGATCTCATGTGGCAAATCAATGAGTGGGATCGTGCAATTTTCTGCATCTTTCTGCGAAGCTGGGCTGTTTGGAAAGGTTTGAAAGGCGCCCTTACCTGCCGCACATGTCTGCCCCATACTTATTGTGGAGCGTTCCCTTGCATCCTCATGTCAGCCTTGCCACCCAGCCTGGCAAACTGGGCTGACTAATTTAAGAGGTGAGTATTGCATTTTTTTTGCGTCGGATTTTAATTGCGTATGCAGCTATCTAGCTATGACACAATATCGGAGAAAATGTACAGAAAAGATGACTCAATATATAAGAGGAGCACTCAGGGGATAATTGCATTTCAACGCTGAAGTTTGCTTACATGTAGATATCACAACCGAGCCGAGAACTCAACATTTGCCAGTCGTGTCGTCTACGTACCCCTAGCCTTACCCGTTGAGCTGATAGGTCTAAGACTGTGTGATAAGTCTTGTGCCCACCTGCTGCTTTCGACTTCTTGGCTTACTTGCGAGCCCCAGTTCCTGAGACCTGAATAATTATTAAGGGAATGCAGTCTATCTAGCTGTGACCCTTTGAGGCTCTGGTCAATTGTAACCATGATGTAATTTCTTCCTGATCGGAGTCTGAGGGCAAGAAAAAGAACTATTCATAGACATTCGCGTAACATTTAACCCCAAGCTCTGCGACACACTTATGGGATTTGAAGTTTTGAAGCATCCGTAAACGACATCTCCACCAGGCCAAAATCACCTCACGCTTCAAATAATATAATCCTCTGAGAAATTCTAGGATACCGAAGTGGACTGTACAGCAGTTGATAGTACGCAGCACTTTACTCGAGTCAGTTGGCGTTGTGGTATTGGTCTCATGCTTTCTCAATTGCCACCCACACCAATCACGAGCACTTCTATCCTCGAAAATTTAATTCGATATCCTCAAGATAAACTAGTCCAATTTTATATTCTGAAGTCAACCTCTACGAACATTTGACCCATCCAACTTTCCACATCGCATTACCCATTACCCTTATGTACAAGAATCTTCAATCGGTGCAATGGCCCCAGCAGTTGCATCGTCGTCGACAACGCCCCCCAATCCAGGAGGGCAACTTCACCCAAGCCTGCTTGGCATTGTGAATACTATGCAAAAAGCAGAACAACAACGGAAAGAAAGACTGGATATAGCCCAGGAATTTCTAGAACTAATCGATTCCTGGGCTAAGAGCAAAGGAGAGAAACAAGCAGCAGCAGTTGTCGCGACTCTGCTGGAAAACATCACGCCTGTTATCACAGCCTTCGCAGTAGATCAGTTAGAAGCATCTAACTTTCCAAGTAAGAAGCCCCCCACCATGGCAAGCACTCCAAAACCAGTCGCGCCTAGGAAAAATACAGCTGTTGGGGATCACAGCCACGCTCTACTCCCAAAGCCTCAAGATACCAGCTCGCCCTGGGTGACAGTAGCCCGCAAAGCGGCCAAGTTACCGACACCACCAAATGTGCAAGTTCTGCGAAGGCCTGCTCCATCAAGCCACCGGAAACCACAGACAACCCAAAAGGAGGACAAACGCCTGCTCCTTCGATTGGGGAGAGATCACCACTGGCACAAGCTCTCGCCAGTTACGATCAAGAAAATTATAACCGACAAGGCTGGGATAGCAGCCTCAGCTATCACCTCCATGTACCCAGTCAGGTCGGGGATCGCTCTCGAATGTGCATCAGATGCATTGAGAGATACAATCATGAGGATTGCCCCTTCCCTACAGGAAAACAACACCGTGATTGAGGAAGCGTCCAAATGGACATTATTAATCGTACCTCATATGCCATTGTACATCAGGACGCTTGAAGGCAGCATCCCAGTCACCAACGATATGGTGAAGAACGAGTGCCAGGCTGTATGCGGCGCCACACCAATCCAGGTAAGGCCCACAGAAACAAAGCTTGGGCAATACTCAACGAGCTGAATTGTTCATTTCCAAAAAAAGCCAGCAAACACAAAGTTTCGTCTCTTTGACGAGAGCGGACCAGCAATTCCCTTCTCGCGCCGAAGACCAATCGAGCAATGCCAACGTTGCTGGGGATTCCACACAACGCGTTCCTGTAATCGGAGACAACGATGTGGGGGAACCCATGAGACATCAGAGTGCCAGGCAAAGGTGTCAAAGTGCTCAAATTGCGTGGGACCTTATCACTCGAATGAAGGCAGCTGTATGGCCCGGCCAAGACGACAAAACGGGATAATTCTGCCCCGTACCTCGGCAGAACTTCACATCATCAGAGAACGCGGACATCGTGATTATCACGCTGCTCTAGCGTACTCTGAAAGGAAGGGTAAGGCGGTTGAAACCGTCATTGCCCAGGACTCAACAATGTCGTGTTAATGTTAGGGAATCTCTCAACAAAAGCACCAAAAGACAAGTACAACACCGTCCACTTTCACTAAGTGAATGTCGGAAGAGGTGGGGAAAACACGGATATAGCATTGTAGCAGGCATGGGATGCTGGTACACATGTAGTCATGGTACAGGAACCATGGACAAGAAAGAAAGAGGGGGGTTTTATAACAAAAAGTCACCCTGGCTACAATAGCCATATACCTTTTAAAGGAATAGACATCCGGCCCCGCGCGATTACTTTCACGCGCAAAGGTAGTCATGAGACTCAAATATTTCCACCGTTGTCAGGCCCGACATCTGACTACCGTTTTGTAAAGATGGGCAGCCTAACCTTTGTCACCGTATACTGTGCCCCAGGCACTAGTGGAACCTTGGAGCCTCTACTCCGGTGGGAAATTAGAGGTCTAGTGGTTATTGGAGGCGATTTCAATTCTGTGTCACAGCATTGGCAACCGCTAACGACAAATCAGTAAGGCAATGGTAACCAGATTATGGAATGGGCAACAGCCCACGACATGGACCTAGTTAGCATTGTTGGAGAGCCAACGCACAGGGATGGGAACGTCCTAGATCTAACGTGGAGCAACACGGCCGCCATAGCATCAGTGTCCAACCTTTACCACTGTACCTCAGATCACTCGACTATCGAAGGTACCGTGCTTAACCCTACAGTGTCAGATCTCTCTGGAATTGTAATGAACATTCGTGTCAGCGACGCCAACTTGAAGGAATTTAGCCGATGCGTAAGCCAATGGACCAAATCTGGCCCTCTCGATAGTGTCGTCAACATCGAAAACTTCACAAATGATCTTCTGAAACCACTAGGGACGCTGTGGATCGCAAGGAAAGTCCCAGCCATCGAAAGCGGGAAAACTGGGCCATGGTGGACCGATGAATGTCGCACAGAATGGCAAGAGTACAAGGCAGCGAGAGACAACCCTGACCTCGCGAAAGAGGCTCGCAAGAGCTTTAGAGCCGTGGTACGAAAAGCCAAGCGAGAGTACTGGAAGAGGCAAGTAGAGGCAGTGAATACTGACGCACAGGTATTCAAGCTCATGAGATGGGCTAAGCCTCGACCAGCTTCTGAGCCCCCTCCCTTGCGAATTGACGAAATCCGTGGCTATCTGACCTATTAGAGCGAGCTAGTGCGCTTCGAGACATTCTCTTGGCAGGACTTAGCGGCGAGAACGACATCTCAACCCGGGATAATGGACAGGAGGAGCGCATCCCACGTGATACGAAAATATCACTTGATGATGTGACCAGCGCTACCGTCTCTATCAATGACACGGCAACAGGCGCTGACAAGATAACGGTACGATTACTGAAAGCCTGTAGGTCCCATCTAGGGCCTCTGGTTAAGGATCTCCACCAGGCTTGTCAGAAAATCGGCTACTTTCCCACGGCCTTAAGGGTGGCAGAAGTTGTGCTTCTTCCAAAGCCGGGTAGAAATCTGTCAACTGCCAAGAGTTGGCGACCAATCTCGCTGTTGTCGAGTTTAGGCAAAGGACTTGAGCGTCTAGTTGGTAAGAGAATGGCATGGCTGACGATAAGTCACCAAGCTGTTCACCCACAACTATTCGGCTCTGTACTAGGATGATCTGCAGTCGACCTTGCATCTTGTGTAATCCATGATGCTGAGGCGGTCATGAGAAGTGGTAAGTGTGCGGCCATTGTAACACTTGACATTTAAGGCGCTTTTGACGCAGTCCTTCACAACAGACTGCTCAAACGCCTTCGAGAACAAGGCTGGCCACTATCCCTGTGCTGGTTCATTCACACTTTTCTTTGCCAACGAAAGGTGAAGGTAAAACACCGCGACGGAACTACCGAGGAAAAGATACTGGAATGTGGATTACCTCAGGGCTCGCCACTATCGCCATTACTCTTTATGCTATATGTCGCAGTGCTATTTCAAGACCATAGTCTCACGAGCAGGTTTGGCTATGCTGATGATATGGCCATCATCAGAGTTGGAAAAACCGCGGCTGAAGCCATCCCCGCAGCACAAGACGACTTCGACAGTCTCATTCTTCTCGCCAGAGAACACAGTATTGAGTTTGACCCAGCAAAGTCCGAACTTCTAGTGACCGGAGGAGGGCCTAGAAAGAAAATCAACGCGGCTGATCTTTCAATCATGGTGAGAGATCGTCGAATCGAACCAGCAACGCACATCCGGTGGCTAGGAACCTGACTTGATACTCAGCTGAACTTCAAGCAGCATGTACACGAATGGACTGGAAAGGCTAATCGTCTAGTCCATTTCTTACGACATATAAACGGAGTTCAACGCGGTGCAGCTCCTGGACCTCTAATTTGTGCGGTACATGCATGCGTTCTGAGTACGGCTCTATGTGTGGCAGAAGCGTGGTGGCCTGGTCTCATTCGAATAACCTCGCTAGGAGATAAAGAAGTCGGCACTGGCGAAGGCTGGCACATATCTCTGCTAGTCAAAACGATAATGAAAGCTACCCGAGTAGCACTCCCAGTATAGTGTACCACTCCCAATAGCGCTCTTTACCGTGAAGCGGGAGTACCCCTGGCATCCATCATCCTCCAGCAAAAGACGCTGCGATCGGCAGCCAGCATGCGAAGAAAAGATGTGTGGCACCCACTAGCCCTCCGGGCGGCTGAGGGCCTGAAAGATACTATCAGACGCTTAG